ATGAATGCGAAATTCATTAATATTTTATTCACAATTATTTCCTTTGCAAATAAAATACACACGAATAAATCATGCATATCTTCGTTACTTTCCTTCAAGTAGCATTCTTCTTTGTAATATTAAAAAAATATTATGAATGAATTTCATATATATTCTCTAAATAACACTTTCCCCCTTATTTTCCTTTAATTAACTTGTCAACAAAAGCATGTTCAAATCCCCTCAATCCGATACTTTCGCGTGAATCTACAGGACTGAAACTACTCCAATTGAACTTGAACCAAGAGTTTAAATTTACCCTATGCATTCAATATGACTAAATCAGAAAGATATCCGTTGAACCAACATTGTCACTCTAATACTCATTGTCTCACATAATCGATGTAAACCAGACAGACTTGTATCTTTCAATTCTCATCCAAAATTGCGCCTGTCGAGGGCACCGATAAAATAAGACGGAAACGGGGAAAACTGATCGCCGGTGACAATATACTCCGCATTTTGCTCTTTAACAACTAAAGTATACCAGACGCGGTTCCTGCAATACGAAACAAGCTACGTAACTTGTTAATAGTTAGCTGATGCAAAAATTGAGATGACATGCGACATGAATCGACTAACCTGAGGGTAAAATTTAGGGTATTACACCACCCTAGGCATTTATTACTCTTGACGCGTGGCCCTAGAAGACACCACACATTTCCCTTCTAATCATTTTCCTGCTCGAGACCGAACGTGGCAGTTCCTTTCCTCTTTCATCACATTGTTGGCTATAATGCCCGACCTTTACGTTGTCGGGAATGTTTCCCCGAGAGAGACAAGAAAAGGGCAAGGACTACATCTGACGGACATGTCTCCATGCGAGCACCTATCATGTCGAACGACTTCTACTCCTAGCCACGCGCATTGTCTCGCGAGCTCAGTGCTTCGAGTAGGTCCTCGATGCTATAACTAACTCTTAAGTCATTACTCATCTACTTCGGAGCAACGACTTGGAGGGCTCCTATTCTGGACTGGTCTAGAAGTTGCCCCATTGTCAGGCACAACCCAATCCATCTATTCGTCAGGGAAGGCCCAATTAAGGCTCAATTTATCACATCACACGGGGAGCACTTACGCGTCTCCCCCACGGACTCCACGTGCCCCCACACTGTGACACGTCATCAAGTAACTACCCATATTCGAAAGAACAGGTCACCCACCTCTTAAAAATCATGGGGCAATTGATCTAGGGTAAAGACCAAATGATGGTCTTCCCTACGCCATGTAGACCCTGACAGTTACGGGTATTCTATTTTCACTATTTTTTTTATACTTTCCTTCTCTCTCTTGTTGAAACTGACTTTAGCATCAGAGTGCCTTGCAGGTACACCCCCTCCTCTTCTCCGCCACCAGCGAATTAGAAGTTCACGACATGTTGTTGGCTACTGATTCTTTTCAGATCCGGTAAGATCAGATGGAGACATTGTAGAAGGTGAAAATATCAGAAGAATCCAAAGACTTGTTATAGTGTACAATGACAACATATAAAGTCGTTTCTGGGAGTTAGTTAAAACTCACATTGATTATCGTATTATGATGCATAGTTCCGAAAAAATTATCCTAATGGTTGTAATCACATAGATATGTTGTTTAATTGGTTTATTTGTTTGCTTTGTTGTTGTTGTTGTTGTTTAAGTTGTTGTTTAGTTGTTGTTTAAATTGTTGTAACCGAATATTGTGATATTTATGAAATTAACGTTGTTTTCAATATCAAATAAAATGGTTATATAAAATAAATTACATATAAAATGCAGGACTAAAAGTGGATTATTGAATTATGTTATCGAACTTGCTTCAACATTGGGACAGTTTGTACGATTGTGTTCGGGCTAACAACATGAACTACATATTTTCACCATTTTGTCTGTCGTATCCATTTCAGTTCAAATACGTGTGTTGTTAGGGCGACCCTTTTCTTCCTTCACATATTTTCATTGTGACAAACTATCTCCCCTTTATATGCATGTCAATAATACTCCTTTGCTACCACCATAAATCTATTATTGTACATATTTCATAAGTTTATAACTTTGTAAATGGCGGATAATAAGTTGGAAGGGTTCTGCCGAGCCTTTGAACATACCACTATGACATGGGAGCAAGGCATACGGAAAGCTTGGAACTTCCCGCAATTGCACCAACCTCTATCTTGTTCGACTCAATGATATCTCATTGGCATTCCCTAATTATGGTCGATTGCCTCATCTTAATTGAACCAATATTTACGAAGGTCAAACATTGTGACTATATGTGTGTTAGCTTTGCAGCTTACTCTTTAATAAATTTCATTGAAGTTTCATTGAACAACTGCCTCGATTGTAACACTGAACTCCATTTTTAATATATGATCTCAAACAGTAACCCCAACCTGAAATAGGTTGCTCTCACCAAAACGGTTATCAGTAGGTTTCAGATGCCTTCAAAGACATAGTCCATTGATTCCACAAGATTTGTCATCATGTGACCTCATCGTTGAACATTGTCGAATTCCTTGGTCCAGTTCTCAAATGGAGTACTATCGATCCACTTTACTGCATATGCATTTGTCAATCTAATCTCTTTGCAATAATGTTTAAAGGAAGCTTTTGTTAATGCATACCATGTATTCACAACCTTCTTTCGAAGATCTTGTCTATGATCTCCCACATGAAAATTTGAGCGATGTGTCTAATGCAGTAGACATGCATAGAAGAAGGATCTTGCTAGCCGTTATCAAGGTTTTTATAAGCACTCTCAATAGATAAATATCTATCTGAAATCAAGCATAAGTTATGCTAGGGAGCAACGTGCAATCAAATACTTTTTAGAGAAAAGTTACATCCACCAAAAGTCTCCCCTTCAACTAGAGCGAAGGCGATTGGAAAATGTTGTTGTTTCCATCTTGTGCCACTTCCATGAGTAGTGTTCCTTTATATTTTTCGTACAACCATGTTCCATCAATTTGTATAATAGGTTTGCAAAATACAAAACCTTTGATGCATGGTTCATACGCCTAGAAGAGTCGGTAGAATACTTTATTTCCACTAACACAAGTCCTGTCTAGGGTATATGTCGGCAAGGTCTCCAAAATTGCAACAGTCCTTGGAGTATAATGCTTAAGTGCCACGAGGTATTATGGAAGTTCTTTGTAAGAATCATCCCAATTCTCGAATACTCATTCAACTGCCTTAGTCATAGCTATCCATGCCTTTTTGTACGAGGGAGTTTAATTGTATCTTGTAATGATATGCGAGATTATTATACGTACCTTCAATGACGGATCCTTGCTAATGACAGATAAAATTTCATTGCATATTAACTGAGAGCTAAGCTTGCGATGATCCTGCATCAGATTGGTGATTATACAAGTGTGAGATGGACCAATAGAACTTATCTCTCAAGAATCACTCCTCTTCTGAGAAGATGTTGTCAGTCAGAACATGCAGAGCACATTACGACACAAGATCTTGTACGTCGTCACATTAGTGCGATCGACATGAAGTTAACCATGAGGATGCTTCAGTTTGGACTACAAAAACATCAATCATCAGGTTCACTACAGTGGAAATGCACCAGAGTGACCGTGTAAAACTGCATTTTGGCGTGAAACAACAAATCCCAAACCCCTTGACGTATTTGGGACAATAGCATAACTAAGAGTCGATTCCCAATGAAGTTATTCTGATTGGAGAAGGTTCACTAGGAAGACGTGTTGTCAATGGAAGCATTGACATCAACGCATCTTAAAGAACCTATCATACAAGATGTTAGGCCAACTCAAAATTATATGAATTGATATAGGTTGGTTACAACAACACAGTTTGTGTCTGACCCGAGATATTTGATCGGCCCACATAAACGAGCTTCGTCATCATAAGCCCAACAATAAACCCCCGCCCAACAACCTACCCCACAATATTACCAAACCTAACAACAATGTCAACCCACCGAAACACATCATCACCATACCAGAAATACCCAACCACCAATTGAACATGATTACGAACCCACATACACCCAACCCCGCAACTAATTAATGCCACACACCTAAACACAAAATCAAGAGCATGACCCTTACCACCTGTCATACCCTAATTTTTGACCCTAAGATTTTGTTTTGCATCATCTGCATAGCATAACATGCACTTCATCTTGCATAGTGTCTGAAATGTCAGTCAGAATAAATTTGTTGGATTTACAAACAAACCGGTCTAAATTTATTTCAAAATCTGACCAAACATTGTATTTTTCCAATATGTTTATTTCGCGCTGATTATTTTGGTTTGTTCATTTTATTTTTTCGAGCACTTTTCTGCCCGACTTTTTATTTCGTTTTTAAATCATTTTTATTTAAATAATCATTTATTTTATTTAGACTTAATTAGATATTTAATGTAAATTTTTATTTTTATTAATTAATTTTATTTTTAATTTGTTTATTGATATTTTCTTTTTAAAAAAACATAAAAACATAATTTTTAATTTTTTTAATTCTTGTCTTATCATAAAAAACACAAAAACATGATTTTTAATTCTTTTTATTACTAGGGGTGTTCATGGGTGCGGGCCGACCCACAAACCCGCCTACCCAAACCGAACCAACCCACTAATTACCCGGACCCATTCATTTACGGGTATACCCGACCCAACCCGTAACAACCTGTATAGATTTGGTTCGGGTATTGGGTTTTAGTTTCTAAACCCATGAATCTGTTGACCCAACCCGTTGACGTGGCATAATTAATTATTATTATTATTATATTATTATTTATAAATTTTAAAATTGCTATAACTTTGTAAATTGTAACGTACACAAAGATCTTTTGCACTTTCCTTCCAGTTTCCATTATTTCTTGTAAATTGTCAAGGCTTCTCCTAGTAGGTTGGCTACTTTTTAGAAGTGTGCAGAAGCTGTTGGTGTATATTCTAAAGCATTGGTAACACTAGATGTAGAAACCAGATGGAACTCTACTTATTTAATGTTGAACATCGCTGAAAAGTATGAACATGCATTTTACCGCTTAGAACATGCTGATGTTGCATTTTTAACTAATCTCCGTATTGAGTCGAAAGGATGTCCTAATCGAGCTGATTGGGAACGAGCTCGTATTTTTGTGAAGTTTTTGAAAACTTTTTATGATGCCACACTTTCTTTTTCTGGGTCATTGCATGTTACTGCTAACTCTTTTTTCAAACAGTTGATGGATATTAAAAAAACGTTGAATAAATGGAGGCACAATGTTAGTGATCCAATTTTGAAAACCATGACAGCAAATATGCAATTGAAGTACAACAAGTATTAGGAAAGCAATACAATAAATTATCTTCTCTTTGTTGCTATTTATCTTGATCCTCGTTATAAGCTTGACTATATTGAATTTTGTTTTACTCGGATGTATGGTGAAAAATTGTCAGAGGATATGTTAAAGAAATTGAAATCTCTCATTGCTAAATTGTTTGAGCACTATTTATTTTTGTATCCTGTTTCTCATGATGGTGGTTCCAATGCCTCATCTTCAAACATTGCCTCTCATTCTAGAATTGAAAATGGTGAAGACGATGAAGATTGGGACAATTTGTTTAGAATGAATATGAAGAAAAAACATTGTGAAGTGCAAAAAAATGAGTTGGAAGGGTATTTGGAGGATGGTGTTGAAGATGATTCTCCTACATTTAATATTCTCACTTGGTGGAAAGGAAAAACAAATAAATATCATGTGCTTTCCCGCATAGCTAGAGATATATTGGCTATCCCTGTATCCACTGTATCTTCTGAATCCGCTTTTAGTACAGGAGGTCGTGTCCTTGATTCATTTCGTAGTTCCTTGAATCCCTCTACCGTTGAAGCTTTGATTTGTACTCAAAATTGGATCAAATCTCCTAAGGTCATTGATTTAGAAAAAGAGTTGGTTGAATTGGAAAAGGTTGAGTCAGGTATGAATTATATGTTTGAATTTTAAAATCTATTTTATTTTAGTATTACATTACATTATTCTTATTAGTTGTTTGTGTTTACATATATAGAGTTAGCTGGATTAGTTTCTATTGATGTTGGAATTACTGCGGTTGAGCTCAATACAACTGTTACTACTAGATTTTAAGGTATTTTCTAGTGTTGTTTTTTTTCTTCTTCTTTTGACTATTGTTGCTTAAACTTTTAACTGTTGTTGCGAGATTTTATGTTGTTGCTAAACGTTTCATTGTTGTTGCTGGAATCTTTTACAGCTACTGTTGCTGGATTTTCTGTTGTTGCTAAACCTTTCACTGCTGGATTTTCTGTTGTTGCTAAACCTTTCACTGCTGGTGCTGGAATCTTTTATAGTTGCTGTTAGATTTTGGTGCTATTAGACCAATATTGGACCAATACATCTATGTCATTTTAAGACTAAGTGATGTTTATTTGCTTTTGAATTATTTAGAATTTATGAATTTTATGGAAATGATATTTTATGGAATTTTATATATTATTAAGTGTTAATATATATGATAGTTACGGACCTACTTTTAAGCATGTGCTAGAAAAGGTAACATTTGAGTATCAAAACAACTAATATATACTGTATATTATTATATATTTGTTTTACATATGTTGATATATATTTGTAATGGATAACATTTGAGTATCAAAATAACTAATAAATTTTTATAAATTAAGGTATATTAATGAAAATATATAAATAATTAATGGTGCATATGTTTCTTAATATTTTCTATGACAAAGAAAATACATTTCAAATTTTAATTGTTATATTTTTAATTATTCTATTTTATATGTAGGATTTGTCTCCACTACGTAAATAATTTAATTGTTTGAAATATGCAAAATTATATTGAATTGTGTTATAGATTTTTTAAATTGAAAATAATAATTATTATATACACAACCCGTGGACCCAACCCGTAAATATCCGGGTTGATTCGGGTCGGTTTTTAAAGTAGAATTACGGGTTTGATGATAAACCCAACCCATTAAAAGTTGAACGGATTGGGTAACGGGTTAAGGCGAACCCGGTCCAACCCAACCCGCGTACACCCCTATTTATTACTGTCTTATTATAAAAAACACAAAAATATAGTTTTTAATTCTTTTTATTCTTCTCTTATCATAAAAAACACAAAAACATGATTTTTAATACCTTTTATTCTTGTTTTGTCATAAAAAATACAAAAGCATGATTTTTAATTCTTTTTATTCTTGTCTTATTATAAAAAAAATAAAAAAAATTGTGTTAATTGAAATTATCATTCTTGTCTATTTTCTAGTCCTATATATATGCATTAGAAAAAAAATAAGCAATCACACAAAAAAAGAAAACACACTCATACCTCTAGGGATGGCAACGGGGCGGGTTTAACTATACCTGCACCCGCACCCGCCTCCATGTAACAGACCCGCCCCCGCCCCCAAATCCAATCGGGGGTGAAAATTTACCACCCAGACCCGCCCCTAGTAGAAAACGGGTGCACCCGCACCCGCCCTGCCCCCACCCGCAAAAAATTATTATTATTTTAATTATAATAAAAATTAGTAATTTAATTAAAAAATTGATTATTTTAATAAATTAATTAATTATTTAATTAAAATTTTAATTAATAAATGAATATTAACTTGATTAATTTTATTATTTTAATTGCAATAAGAATATTAATAACTTAATTAAAAGTATAATTAATAAATAAATATTAAAATAAATAAAATAAGGAAATCAAAATAAAATAGATTATTTGGGGCGGGGATTGGGGCGGGTGCGGACGGGTCTTAGTGTCTACCTGCACCTCCACCCGCACCCGTAGTTAAGAACCGGGTTTCACCCGCACCCGCACCCGCACCCAATTAAATCGGATTTCCCCCGTTAATTTCGGAGCGGGCCCGGGCGGGTGTGGGCGGGGCCGGGTTTGTTTGCCATCCCTACATACCTCGTTTTCCTCACATCCAAACTGCAAAGTTTTTCACAAACCACGACGTGACATCGAGAGAAAGAGACAGAGGGGGCGGCAGCGTGAGGGAAAAAGTCATTTGAGAGAGGTAAAATTGAAAACTTACCCTTTAGTTTGAAAAGTTGATGTTGTTTTGTATCTATGTCAATTTCATGTTTGTCTTGGTAGTACCACTTATAGTGTCACGTGGTGTTTGTTTTATATATATTGATTGAGGTAGCTTCTTTAGTTTTATAATTTAAGTATATGAGTTATTTTTGGTTGTCTATAGTTTATATTAGGTATCACCATGTATCATATATTTATGTATATATTACATATATCACATTTTAATATTATATATCATATACTTTCACGTATCAAATATTAATGAATAGTTATTTTTAAAAAAAATTTTATCATAATTACCTCTTAATTAAAATTAGTAGATTATCTTTCATTATTTTTTTCTAGTTAATACTATATGTTTTTTCTTTTAAAAACAAAAATAGAAAGAAACAAATTTAATTGATTTTTGGATATCGGTTATCATTATTCTTAGTCACTTCTATTAATTAAGTTTATTTTTTTATTATTTATATAGTGTTAGAAAAGACCAAAATGTTTTCTTATTTTTAGTTTATTAGTTAATTTTATAATATTAAAAAGAATATATATATATATATATATATATATATATATATATATATATATATATATATATATATATATATATATATATATATATATATATATATATATATATATATATATATATATATATATATATATATATATATATATATATATATATATATATATATATATATATATATATATATATATATATATATATATATATATATATATATATATATATATATATATATATTATAATTACTTTATTTTAGCATAGAAAGATGTAAAAAAAATTTGTTTTAATTACTTTTATAAGGATTAAAATACCAAAAATATTTTAATTATTTATTTTAGCATTTTTTATTTCTAGTTTTTCATTAGTTAATTTGAATTAGATTAAAATGTATATAAATTTGTGTCATAATTATTATTTGTATAAATATTTATATTTAAATTAATTAATAATTTCTTGCTACCCAATTCCAAAGGAGGATCCCTTGTTGTTGACACTCTTGTCGTTTACATTTTCATTTGCATTTTATGTCTTCTTGTATATATTTCTTGTAATCGTAGAACTTGCTATCCCTTAGAAAGTCTCCCTTAGGATTACCATTTCAACTATAGATAACTTACATTTAGTTCCATTTTTCTCATAAGAGAATTAGACATGAGTCATCCTTAGTCGAGATATAATTCTCCTACCCCATGACATAGTTGAGAAAGACATAGATTGTATTCTGCTTAAGAGAGGTATGTGGCATACTCATCGATTCCATATCCAAGTTGGAGTCATTCTCCTAATGCAAATCAAAGACCCGTCTTCCACATGTTTGTGGTGATTTAAGTTGAGTATTCTCCTTAATATGACAACTTGTCTCTTCTCTTAAAACCAATCAATAAACTTTTATCCACCCTTTTAAAGAAACTCTGAATGCTCTGATTCTACTCCCGTCAGGATACGTAGACACAAGATGCGACTTCTTGGCGAGTAAACTTAGTAATAACACCTTAGGTCTCCCTTTTTCCTTTTCACCCTTAGCAGACAAAATAAGAAATAACACAATAAAACAAGAGGTTCCTGTAGAGTACTACAGATACTTAGGATGCTAGCATCTTCCCTTAGTATAACCAACCCCCGAACCTTAGATTCTTTTTTGCTTTGCATTGCATATTTATGGGTTATTCGTTATTCTTCCATTCCTTTGGATACATTAAAGATCGGTGGTGAATTATGATTTGTGATTCAAGTTAATCCAATAGCTTGATATCCAATTCTCATCGCGACACCACCAACAACCATATGCCGCCACCACATCTTACTATATCCTCTATGATGGATATGATCCCATCTCATCCCATCATAACACCCAACCAATGCACACCTAAACATCACACCACCAAAGCACCCAAACATCATATCGTCAAACCACATAATAAACACATTCCTTTCAAACACCACAAGAACCATTGCTTCGTTTCCAAAACGATTTAATGTCCCAATTCATCCAACCAGCCCGCCCACACGTAACTCAACCAACATAACCCAACTACGACAACGTGGACACTAATCTCGATTACGGCAATGCCGACTACTGGGGGAGAATGATTGAAAATTTGTTAGATATGTCTGGACTCTTGCACCAAGCACCTTTGCCTCAGGCGAATACTAGGAGACCCCAAACACCTCAGGAAAATCATGGGAGCCCTCGAAGGCAAACAAATGTGTCAAGGTGTGAAATCGGGGGCATTACGATCGAGCAGATCATTGAATTTCTATCCAATCATTATGTAATTCTATTTAATGAAATAATATTATAAATTATTTTTAATTTTCCATTTTATTTAATATTATTTTATTGTTACACTAATTAAAAAACGCAAAACAACACAATAGTCACTGGCTACAGGACATGCTCCTAGAGAATGCATGCATGTGTCATAGGCAATGGTATGACATGAATGCATACACCATACCCTATGGCGTCTTGGTTCAAATTATGAGTGCATGTGCCACTGTCTGTGGTACTTCCTCTTATTGTCGATTTTTTTTTAAACATGATTATATATATATATATATATATATATATATATATATATATATATATATATATATATATATATATATATATATATATATATATATATATATATATATATATATATATATATATATATATATATATATATTTAGAATACAATTATTTTAGATTATTTATTTTTAAAACATGGTTATTTAAAAAAATCTTAATATAAACGATAAAATTTCTAAAAAAATACACAATTGTACAAAACAGATAAAAAAGTAAAGCTCTTACGTTTACTTTTATTTTATATTTAATTTACTTTTATTCCTCCTATCTTACTTAAAAAAACAAATCATTTAGTTTTCTTATTTTTAATAAAATAAATTTGAAATATAAATAGAATACTTTTATTTTTCAATAAAATATGAAGAAAAAACTTTAAAAAAACAAACAGAACTTATGAATATACTTACAAATATTACTATCTTACCAAATTATCAACCAAATAATTTTATAAAATTTATAAAAAATATTTATTTTAAAAAAATCTTAATGTGAAGGATAAAATTTCTCAAAAAATATACCATTGTATAAAACAGATAAAAAAATAAAGCTCTTACGTTTAATTTTTTATATTTAATTTATTTACTATTTCTCCTATCTTACTTAAAAAAACAAATTATTTAATTTCCTTACTTTTAATAAAATAAATTTGAAATATAAATAGAATACTTTTATTTTCACTAAAATATGAAGAAAAAAATTAAATAAAAAAAAACAAAAAATTCATAAATACACTTACAAATATTACTATCTTACCAAATTGTCAACCAAATAATTTTTCAAATTTTGTAAATAAAAAAACACTTAAAAAGAGTGGTTAATAGGGAGTCTCATTCTAAAAAAAAAAGAGAACACAATGTACAAAATAGACATAAAGTTTATTATTTTTTCTTTTATCTTTTTTCAAAACAAATCATTTAATTTTTTTATATTTAATAAAATAAATTTAAAATACAAATACGGAGTACTTTTATTTGTCATCAAAATATGAAGGAAAAAAACTTCAACAAACAAAATATTTATAAAAATGTTTGTATATATTATCATATCAAGTTGAGAATCAAACATAATTTGTCAAAAAAAGGAAAATAAAATCATTTTGTGATGGTAATTGAATCAGGATCCGAATATTTTTGAGTTGAAACAAGACCTCATTGCGATTGACACGTACTGTAGAATTTCCCCAACAAATACACATACAGACAAAAAAACACAAGGAACAAAAACAATCAATAATAGTAAGAACACAAAGGTACGAGTTTGTTGGCGGAGATTGGTTTGGTTAACGAACGCTTCAACGGCAAAATTTCCCGGGCTACAAGGCTTCCTGTCTCTCTCTCTTTCTCTCTCTCTTTCATCTCCATGCGCGACAATTCCCATTTTCTCTCATAATTTCCATCTCCTCCAAAAGGGTTAGGGTTACCATTTTTTTTTCATTTTTCTCTCTGCATTTTCCCTTTTTTTTAATTTTTTTCTTTCTCTCTTTTTTTCGATTATGGAAATTTGTGGATTTTCGTTTTACATCGTACAGATGCGTAATTGAAGGGGAAAATTGGCAATAGCTGGAGGAGGAGAAGTTGGGAGGGTGTGTGGGTGAGAGTGATTGGGGTCCTTAGGTGGAAGATCTGGCTAGGGTTTTCGTTGTTCATTGGAGATTGAGGTGAAATTAAGGAGAAGATGAGCGCTTCTAGGTTCATCAAGTGTGTTACTGTTGGGGATGGAGCTGTGGGTAAAACTTGTTTGCTAATTTCCTACACAAGCAATACCTTCCCCACTGTGAGCTATTATTTCTTTCCCTTTTTTTGTGTCTTGTTTATGTTTGTTGAATTGTACCTTTGAGAAATTTATTCACAAATGTCGACATATGGTTAATGATGTTTGAGGAAATCGGAGTTGTTGGTTTTCGTTTTCTGTTATTTTTCAAGAAACTGAGATTTTGAGATGTGGCAATTGATTCAATTAATTTGGAATGCTTGTCGTGCCTTGATTCGATGAAGAAATCAATTTTTTGTTGTGTCTTGATTTGATTCATCTGCATGTAGTTTTGTAGTCTTCCCATTTTTTCAATTGTTGATATGTTTTTCTTTTGAAGAGTATGAGAATTACATGAAATGATGTATTGGGTATTACTTAAAATGTGCGAAAAGAAATAACTAGATTCCGGTACTAAATTTATCCTCCTAGATATCATTGCATTCTGAGATTATCATTTATGTTTTCTTGTTGTTGAAAAAGGTAGATGATTGTTATTTTTGCATCTCTTCACTTTGTTTGGAAACAGGATTACGTGCCAACTGTCTTCGACAATTTCAGTGCAAATGTGGTTGTGAATGGAAGCACTGTTAATCTGGGTTTGTGGGATACTGCAGGTATTGTTATGTAATTACATTTTTCTTTTTTAAGTATACAATGTAGAGAGAGTGCTTTCTGGTTTTTTATTGTTTTATCTTGTCAAACAGGACAAGAGGATTATAACAGATTAAGACCTTTGAGTTATCGTGGTGCCGACGTTTTCATTCTGGCTTTCTCCCTCATTAGCAAGGCCAGTTATGAAAATGTTTCCAAAAAGGTACTTAGCCCTCTGTGTTTCAGAGTTTATGCTCCTTACGTCCCGTGAATTTAAAATGCGCTTTTGCGTGTTCCCTTTTTTAGAATGTGAGTTAAGTCTATAAACTAGATTGACTGGTATACTGTTCTTTTAATTATAAATTGATGATAAATTTCGTATGTGCTTTATACGAATGCGAGATTTCTTTATAAACTGGAATGAAGGTATACTGTTTAAATTAATCTCAAATTGATGATAAATTTCATATGTGCTGTTTCTTTTCCAGTGGATTCCAGAGTTGAAGCATTATGCACCTGGTGTTCCCATTGTTCTGGTTGGCACTAAGCTTGGTAAGTTTGGTTCTTCCTAATGTAACATCTGATACTGTAATATCATGCATTATTCAGCTGCTTCCTTCTAGCGTATTAATTTATATCAATCACTGTCTGTGCCATGAAATCATATGTTCTTAATTTTATGGATTCCATGATCCATGAATGCTGCTTTCAGATACATGCAAATTATGTGTTGTCACGAGGTACTTGTTTCATAATTCTTTTTATGTTGATATTATAACCGATGAACGGTATACTAAACAGAGACTCCTTTATTCCTGTAAAGGGGTGAAGAATTGTTTTATTGCTTCATCCTGTGCCTTTTTTTTCTTCTCTTCTAAGCTTTCATTTCAATTTATTCTTCCAATGCTTGTTACAACAGTTATGCTCATGCTTTATGTTGGACATTATTCTTCTTTCTTGTATCTATTTTCCAAGATGTTTAGTGAGGTAGGGATTTTCCTAAATTGACATTTGCTGTCTAATACTTGTTAATTAGTACAGCTTACACATGGCCGTTCTTATTTAAGGTTTAGATGTTGGTATATTCAATGATTTCTGTTTTCTTTTGTCTCATATGAAGACACCAGATGGAAAGATTTGGCAGTCTAGTACGATGCTAGAGTTAGCTATCAAGCTTGACTGTGTGCTTGCATCTAGAAAGTAGGAAACGTTTTGTCAAATGCAATAGCGCAATTTGAAAGTTGTTAATTTGGAATTTTGGTTTGGACTACCGCATTGTTCTCATCAGAAGTGTATTAGTATTTGACATTAATTAAAATAGTCGTTCATTTTTATTTCTTAATCCCGTGCAAGATTTAATGCCTTGCACTCAGAATTGTAATTCACAGTTCAGTTCTTTTATTATGCTGTGTGCACGAGTAGATTCGATGCTTTTGAATCACATGTAAATAACTTCCACTGCATTGTTGTTCTATTTGAGGGGATAAATAAGTGTCTTTTGTCAAATTAGAATTATTTCTTTACCATCTTGTGATTCAAAATGAGACAGATCTTCGGGATGACAAGCAGTTCTTTGTTGACCATCCTGGTGCTGTGCCCATTACCACTGCTCAGGTGAATATTATGCTTCTGGTGTTTCTTTAATTGCTTTATGAATTCAAATCTAAAACTTGCATATCTTCTTGAAGGGAGAAGAGCTTAGGAAGCTGATCAATGCACCTGCTTATATTGAATGCAGTTCGAAATCACAGCAGGTACATAATTGAATCTATTCTTGTACACGACGGTTAATTTAATCGCTACGTTTTAAATTCATGTATGGTCTTTACTGCAGAATGTGAAAGCAGTCTTTGATGCAGCCATAAGAGTTGTCCTTCAACCACCAAAGCAAAAGAAAAAGAAGAATAAAGCACAAAAGGCCTGTTCGATATTGTGATTTGCTAGGCCGGTCCAAAAATTTGACAACCATTTCTCCAATCTGTAATTCTCCCCTCTTCTTCGTTTTTCATTCCTACGCTGTTGAAGAAGTTGGAGTCTATGTGGGTGTTCGCTCGTCTAACATACTCTAGATCTCCTTGAAGCATTAAGGTGGTTGATGCTTTGTTTTTCTTGGAATTATTGTGAATTCTAATTGTCAAATTTGCATTTCATGGTTCCCACCTTTTTCTTAACTTAAGTTTTATGTATTAATAGACTGGAATTTCCCAGTTAGGATGATGACTACCTTGTTTGCTTGAAGATATATATAATATCTAAATTATTTTGTATTTCGAAATAATGTTTGCTGTGTGCAAAGATTTCTAGCTTTTCTTATTTGTCATTTGGTTGTTCAACAGTTAGTGAGTTGTCTCTTTCTTTCCTAGATCTGTTTTTGTTGTTTGGTGATGCTTTAAAGTTAGGTCTGAAAACAAATGTGTTGAAATAAATAAAAATACTAACTACAAATCATAACATATAAGTGAAGTACAATATGTGATTGACAAGTATGGTTGGACATTTCACTCATATTTGTTGTGACTTGAGTTCAAGTCTTGAGTTTTGGATTTGATTGTGCAAGTAAATTTCATTGTAAAAATTGTAAATAAGGATGATGTATCTCTAACTTTTGACTTTGTATGTGGGTGTTAATCTCTTCATCTAATCTTTCTCTATAAAAAACCTATATGCGAAGTTGGTTACACCTAACAAAATATCATGTGTTAGTGTCGCACCTCGAAAAATCACAGAGACATTTCGGAAATACGACCCTCGCGCAAAAGGCGCGGAAATGCGGTTCGACAGAGTCGCCACCGAACTTTATTTTTTCCCGAAATAAACGGGAGAGGAAAATATCGAGAAAACCTCTTAAACGAAAGGGTAGGAACAGGGCTGTCGCAACCAAGTTCCGGGTTCGGGAGTCGGTTACGTGAGGGGAAGGTATTAGCACCCCTCGCGTCCGTCGTACTCGACGGGAACCTCTTAAGGTAATTGTGGGGAGTGTTGTTTTAGGTTTACTTGTTTTCTTCTCGCTGGTAAAGGTAGAATTGGTAGGTAAAAGGTTAAAGACGCAAAGGAGAGATGGGTGATTAGAAGATAGGGTGCTCGCCAAGGATTGGGGCCCTTGTGCCTACGTATGCTCATTCGGACGAGAATGAGAAATCAGAGCGTCGTAGTTCGACTACGGGAAAGGATGGGGGAAAACGGAAGATGGATAGAAGTGTGCTCGCCAAGATCATCGCAATCTTGTGCCTACGTATCTTATATTCAAAAATGAATAAAGAATCAGAGCGTCCGTAGTTCGTGGAGACGACCACGAAAATATGGGGTTTGAAATGGATTGAAGTTGAGAGTTGGACATTTTGAAATCGAAAGAATGAACTAATAACAACTCGGGGGCGTGCCCAAGAGCTACTTGTTCGAACATTCAAAGAATGCTAGATTCTAAGAATATCCCTCCTTCGTAAGTTTTGAAATGATTGAATCGAAGAATGGCATGCGAGGCCAAAAGGGAATTGTTTTGAATTGGTTCGACGACGTGTCGAAGATTTGATTGAAGATGGAACCGGCTTGACGACGTGTCAAGGGTTAAGGTTGTGAGAAACGATATTAGTCCCTGAGGGTGCTCCTAATATCGAAACCACGGGGAATTGTGAATGTGTGTGCAAAATGTCGATGGTTGCGAATGCGTATGAACACTCGACTCAGGAGAACTTTTGAGAATGATTGAGTTTGAAAAAGTCGAAAGGTTGAGTGAATAACAACCCAAAGGGCGTGCTTCGAGAGCTATTCACTCAAAAATTCAGGGAATGCTAGACTCCAAGAATCTCCTTCTTTCGAAGTCTGAATCGGAACGAAAATAGTTTAGAAAAGATTTGAAATGAAATGACGTACGAAAATAGTTTAAGGTACGAGATGTGAGATTGGATTTGAAAATGAGAGAAATGACAATTATTTGATAAATGAGACGCGGGTCTCACAACCAATTAATTGGGGCATTACCGAAATGCTGGATCTCGACGATACCTTTTTCATTTGGAAAAAGTTTGAATGAACAAAGGAAATATCACAAAGAATGCTAAGTTCTCATGACATTTCTTTGTTAGAAAAAAATAACTTTGAAAATGAGAGGTCGAATAATACACTACTTAAGGTGTACACCTTAGTAATGACTATCCAAAAATTCAAGAAGTGCTAGACTTCAAGAACTTAGTTTCTCACGATTTGATTAGAAAATAATTTGAATGAAAACTTAGGAAAATTATTTTTTGAGGACGGTTTGGATTTAATTTAAGAAATATTGTTTGAATAAACAATGAATATATTACACAGAGTGCTAGACTCCTATAATATATTTTTGCTCGAAATAGTGCTTTAAAACGAAAAGTTGAATAATACATTATTTAAGGTGTACACCTCGCTAATGATCATCCAAAAATCCAAGAAATGCTAGATTTCAAAGATTTAATTCGTTTTGAAAAAGTATTCGGACCGAGTCAATAGTTTGAAATTGAATTTTAAGCGTGTGCACTAGCAAAGTGGGCTAGTCTTCTAAGTGACCAATTAGAAGTAACTGATCAAATAGGTATCACTGTAAGGAAGCCCAGGATTAAGCTTTAAATTGTTGTGTATGGTGATCAAAGGTCGATGGCGAGGCCTTGAAAGCACTCGACTTACATGGGTGAAAGTGACTCGATTAATCGAGAATTTATTTCTTAAAAATGTTTTTTTGAGGTGTTAAAGCATAAGAAAAAAACTATAATATTATTACATTTGAGGGAGTTGGGATACATTATTATTGAATGTGAAGGAAAATAATAAACTAAATTGAATATAATATATCAACCATATAGAAATTAAGTGCTTCCAATATTGGGCAACCCAATCCACTTCACACCCATGCCCCACATTGGCAAGGACAGAGTACAACAGCATAAATGCTTTGAATACTAGCCGCATGATCTCCAGCCTCTCAGCAGCACATTAGTAACCTTAAGTTTTCATGAAGTGCTAGGAGCTAAATCAACTTCCAATTTTAAATGCAAGCCAAAAGAAAAAACTAACAGACAACAACAAATAATCTGTTAACAGAACTACAAAGCAATTCAAATAACAAAACCGTAAAGCCACGGGATTTGTCGACAGAGTTTAAACCACAAAGTCACTTTGACATAAAGCCATTCTACCCGGAGTATTGTGTTACGCTATCAGCACACATTCGAACTAAGACGCTGCAGACGACATACATGATAACAATCAACAGCCATTGAATTAGGGTGTTATTATTGTTGTTTTGAATATTGTAACAGAACATAGGAACATACAAGAATGAAGATAGGATATGTCTAGTATAAATTTCAATAATAAAAAAAAAGCCCGAATATTGACGACGTCACGTCGGATATTCGGCAAAGTTTAGAATAAAGGCTATCCACAAGACATAACAAAAAAGTAAAGTACAGTGAAGAGAACTGTCAATCAAGCCTGTACCAAATGCCATCGAACCAGAAAGGATACGGGGATTTACCGGCGCCGACTTCTCATTTGGAATCGTGTGAACTGAGTTATCATGATTTTGGACCTTACTTGTCACGGCTGTTGCTGAGCTATTGTTGCTGCCGTTATCTTGATGTTGCTGGACAGACTAGCTCCGTTATTTGGGGACTTCTTTTTCAATTTCCTTCAACCTATTTGCTTCCATACAGACTTGCCGCTCTGCTGTTGTGAGCAAACCAGTTCTCGCTCATCTATCTCCCTGAACCATGTCTCCATAAATCGTGTCGCCGCAGCTGCCTCAAAGTGGTTGTTGAAGTGTCGTTGTCGCAGCTCTGTTTCGTTGTCGCCGGGTTACTATTGTCGTCATTCCAGTCATTCCAAACTGTAACCGAAATGAGGCCCCAGACTAAACCTTGTTATGTTTCTGACCAACTCACAATCATGGCGGTATTCTCCTGTCAAATATATCCTCAAAAATCCAAATGCACCAAAATATTGCGGGTTAAACTACTACAAAGTACAAATCATGAAGACAGTAGTTAAACATAATGAAATTGAACGCAGACCAAAACTCCAACTACATGAAACGAAATCATGCCGTTACCAAAATATGAACACTACTTGACACAGATCTTTTCCTGGCTCAATCCCTGAAACTGATCCTATTGTTTTACTTCGTCGCAGCCAAAAATGCTTTGAGTTTTTCGGTACTGAATCACGGCAATCAGGAAATTGTTATTGATGAGTTACACGAATGAACAACTCGGCATCTTTGCTTGCTGATGACAATATGTTCTCGCAGATCGAATACAGGGATATTACGTTAAACCTCAGTATCTAACTGCTAGAACCTCTTAACCTGCACATAATTGGCCACACAACCAAACAGAACAGACAACAAAACACAAGTAATTGAATAGGGAAAGAAAACAGAGCTAAACCAGAGAAGCAACATTTATCAAATGCAATTGCCGTGTAGTCTTAGTGCAAAACCGGATCTGCTCAACCATATGCACTGAAGTTCAATCCCTTAGTGTCGGCATTGCATCGTGTGAAACATAAAGCTGGAACCTGTTATGACTTCGTGCTGTTTCGCGTCGAACCCCACTGTGCTGCTGTTGCGAGACAAAAGCTGCTGCTAGCTTCTTAAATGGAAGTCTCTCTAAATCGGGTTGCTCCCTGTATGTGCCTGCTGAAATGTTGCTCGGCGCGTGACCCCCTCCATTGGACTTTTGTCATGATTTGAGATATCACCCTTTTAGCCTTAACCGCAACATTGTCAAGTATCGGTGCCGAGAAACCAACTGCACATGGAATTGACACAGACAGCAATGCAAAACACAACCAAGTTGAAAATATTAAAGACATACCATTCTAAATTAATAAACTAACTCAGCACTAAGTACCACTGCTACATTGGTCATGACAGCAACATATAACACCAAAAGAAGTCTAATATATTAA